AAAATCATTGGGCAGTCATTATAGAAGATTAAAATTCGAAGGACAAATTAATGGAGAATTGAAAACCATTACCTTTGATACGGGTACTGAAGTTTCCATAATTAGAAGAACATTAGTCAAGTCTCGGGCAATCCAACCGCTCACTAGAAACCTGTCACTACGAACAGTCACCGGCGAATCTGCACCAGTTCAAGGAGAAGCTATGGTTGAGCTCACTTTTGGATCTACCACCTTCAGGCACAGAACATTAGTCGCCGATATAGAAGATGATTTTATTTTGGGAATGGATTTGATCGGCCAACATGGTTTCTCCTTTGATCCTTCCATGAACATCCTTAAATTTGGTAATGAAGAAATTGTCCTAACAACACAAGAAGAATCCGATGCCGTTAAGATCTTGGCCACAACCCCAGTGAGGATTCCTGGAAGTACTGAGAAGATCATTTGCGGAAGATTAGAAACAAACCCTGGGTGCTGCGTTGGACTAACACGTAATTTTATTAGAGATAAACCAGAAAGATTTCTTGTTGGGAAGACTCTAGTAAGAACAAATGGAGACATTATGATAAGAATTGCCAATGTTTCTTCCGAAACAGTAAGAATAAAAGAAGGAGACATTATTGGAGCTCTCGAACTAGTTAAGCAAATATCGAACTGTGACCTACCAGATAAGCGACACTTTGTAAAATCCAAATTGGATACAGACACCTTGATGCAGACTTTGGCGAAATCATGGAAACATCTCGATCCAGATAGACTTCAAGAAGCCACAGATTTCATTTTGAAAGAAGCAGACGTATTTGTGATGGACAATCAAACCGGACGAACCAGCTTAATTCAACAAAAAATTGATACTGGATTGGCACATCCAATTAGACTACCACCACGACGTATGCCAGTAGCTAAACAACAGGAAGTGGAAAACCAAATTGATAAAATGCTTCAAGAGGGAGTCATTGAAGAGTCAAATAGTCCATGGTCCGCGCCAGTAGTACTGGTTACGAAGAAAGATGGGAGTCTTAGATTTTGTGTGGACTACCGAAAGCTTAATGACGTCACCAAGAAGGACAGCTTTCCTCTCCCAAGAATAGACGATACACCAACAACTCTATCGGGCTCCAAATGGTTTTCCACCTTGGATCTCAAAAGTGGATACTGGCAAGTGGCAATACATGACGATGACAAAGAGAAAACTGCCTTCAGTACCGGAAGCGGGCTATACCAGTTTAATGTAATGCCTTTCGGATTGTGTAATGCTCCAGCTACGTTTGAGCGACTGATGCATCTTGTTTTGCGGGGCCTCACATGGAGAACTTGCCTGGTATATTTGGATGATGTCATGATTATGGGAAATTCGTTCCAAGAACATCTTAATAACCTGAAAGAAGTTTTTGACCGCTTCCGAAATGCCAACTTAAAACCCAATCCAAATAAGTGTTTCCTATTTCAAAAGAAAGTGGAATTCTTAGGTCACGTGGTATCTGAAGAGGGCATACAAGTTATGGAAGGAAAAATAGATGCTGTCAGGGACTGGCCAAAACCACGCGACAAACATGAACTAAGGAGTTTTCTAGGATTATGTTCTTATTATCGAAGATTTGTGGAAGGATTCGCCAATATAGCTGATCCATTTTATCGATTAACAGAAGAAAAATCAACATTCAATTGGACCCAAGAATGCGATTCCGCATTTAGAAAATTGAAAGGAGCATTATGTACGAGTCCAGTGTTGTCCTATCCTGATCACAAAGGCATGTTGATTTTGGACACAGATGCAAGTAACACCAGTGTTGGAGCTGTCCTTTCACAAATCCAAAATTCACAAGAACATGTCGTGGAGTACTACAGCAGAACATTATCAAAGCCGGAACGAAATTATTGTGTCACCAGAAGAGAGTTGCTTGCTATAGTAAAAGCAGTCGACCATTTTCATAAGTATCTCTACGGACGCAAGTTTCTAATTCGAACAGATCACGCAGCTCTAAAATGGCTTTTAGAAATGAAAACTCCTGAAGGACAGCTTGCTAGATGGATTGAGAAATTGCAGCAATACGATTTCCAAATTAAACATCGACCTGGAAACCTGCATAAAAATGTTGACGCTCTGTCTAGACGGCCATGTAAGGAAGATTGCAAACATTGTCAAAGAATCGATATACATGAGAAAAACACTAGTCCAGCTGTAAGAAGAACGGGCCTGATCGTCGATGACAAATGGACTACCAAGCAAATGAGAGAAGATCAGGAGGCAGACCAGGACATCGGGCAAATTCTACATCTTAAAGAAAATGATGAATGTAGACCAGACTGGGGAGAAGTGTCAAACAAAAGCTTGATTTACAAGGCGTTGTGGGCCCAGTGGAACTCTTTGGCCGTAGAAAATGGTTTGCTCAAAAGAGTTTGGGAAAGTGCCGATGGGAAATCCACTAAGAGCCAACTGGTTATCCCGAAAGACCGAGTGGAAGATGTATTAAAAGAAATACACGCCGGAACCTCAGGGGCACATTTCGGAGTTAACAAGACTTTCGACAAAATTCGGGAACGTTTTAACTGGGTTCACTACCATGAAGACGTTAAAAGCTGGTGCCGAAAATGCGACATCTGTGCTACCAGTAAAGGCCCTAAACTAAGATCTCGGGGACCCATGAAACAGTACAACGTTGGTCTTCCATTTGAGAGAATAGCGATAGATGTAACAGGACCGTTCCCAGAGTCAGAGCGTAGTAACAAATACATCTTAGGTATCATGGATTATTTCAGTAAATGGCCAGAAGTTTTCGCTATTCCCAATCAAGAAGCCATCACTGTTGCCCAGGTGCTAGTGGACGAAGTTTTTAGTCGTCATGGTGTGCCACTAGAGTTACATTCAAACCAGGGACGAAACTTCGAATCTGCCATCTTTAAGAAAGTTTGTGAGATCATGGGCATTCGTAAGACAAGGACAACACCTTTACACCCTCAGTCTGATGGTATGGTGGAACGATTCAATAAGACCATAGAGGAACACCTGACAAAAGTGGTCGCGAAGAACCAACGAGATTGGGACAAGCATTTGCCTCTATTTTTAATGGCGTACAGAGCGGCTGTTCACGATTCAACAGGTGAAAGTCCGGCTAGAATTGTTTTTGGAAGGGAACTCAGGTTACCTTGCGATCTGATGTTTGGAGTACCCGAAGAAGAACGAAGAGAAATCCGAGATTATGCCGACGAAGTAAGGGCACGACTTCTGGGTATCCATGATTTTGCTCGGGAGCATATTCAACTAGCCAGTGGCCGAATGAAGACCAGATACGACTTGAAAGCCAATTCGGTCGGATTTCAAGAAGGTGATTTAGTGTGGTTGTATAACCCAGTAAGGAAGAAAGGAGTATCACCGAAATTGTCTTCAGCATGGGAAGGACCCTATAGAGTAATCAAGAGGATCAATGATTTGGTTTATCGAGTCCAGCGCAACACCAGGAGTAAGATGAAAGTTGTACATCTGGACAGGTTGGCGAAATATCATGGGCGTGAAGTTGATCGGGACGATCAACCTTAAGAGGAGGGCAGTGTCACGATATCGTCCGCCAGGCTGTCAAGAATCGATGGTGAAAATACTTGAATAGTGATTGTAAAGAGTTTAATTGTTGAGTTTGTTAATAAAGTAATTAGTGTCAGAGTGTTTTGTTAAGTGGAATAAATTATTGCTGTGTTAATTGGACTTTGATTTTTTGGAATAAACGAAACGGACGACGAACCCAAGATTTCTGTCAGGCAAGCCAAAGCCTTGACACTATCTTTAAAGAATCTGATAAACTATACTAGTTTTGCATAGGAATTAAATCCCTAAAAAAAATTAAACAAAGATTTCGAGTGTCCACTGCTTGACTCTACAACCAATATGTCTGTAATCTTATGAGCATTATTTGCTTCCTCAGCTGTATATTGTTAAGGATTTCTGGCCATAAAAGGCGATATTTCACAAAAATTTTATCACAATCTTTTTCAGATTTTATGACATCTCTTTGTGATGTAAGCTTTAAGACCAGATTTTTCTGAATCGGACAAAAATTTAAAAAGTTAAGAGTAAATAAAATCAAGCGCGACCTATTTGGTAATACTATTTCTAAGAATAGGGCAGGATTTCTAAAAGAATACGCATGCTCAGCCACCCTGTATAGTAGTGTATAGTATATTAGGCTTATCTAAACTATTTATTGGCGAAATCGAAAACAAAAATCCCGATATGTAGCTTGTAAGGCGCCCCAACATTCATAATTGAAAGGGCTGTTTTATAATTTTCGGACCCACTTTACTGGGTCACCCTGTATAGTTACGAATTTGGTGTAATGATGAAAAATGCTTATTTTTGTTAGTACTAAAACATATCAAATTTTTAAAATAACCGACCGGTCCCCGAAAACCCATAAGATGTGTGCGATATTTTTTAATTTTCTGGGATTTTTCAGTTTTCCACAACTTTAAGCAAAAACTTTAGTTCTGGAGTTTCTTGAGGAACTTCTACAGAAAAGTGTCTTTAGGCATCCTGTAGATTTTTTGAAATAGCTTGTACAATAACTTTCTGCATGGCTTTTAAATCAAATTCTATATTTCCAAATTTTATAGATTGTTTAAAAAATTTTATACAATATTGAGACAAAAGTTAAGTACCTTTCAAGTTTACACAGGAACTTTCAAAGCTTTTATTGGAAACTGTTCAGCTATTATTGATTTTAAACATCCTGTAGATTTTCTACAGTTGAAATCATAAACTTCTGGAAACGTCATAATTTAGCTTCCTTTGTTTGTGCCTAAAACATTTTTCATGACTTATAGAGATTTTTTTTTAGGTTCCTGAACTTTCCCAGCCCAGGTGCTTGTAGAGTTCGAAATTTGATAATACCTATATATTCCTTTTTTTTTCATATTTTTTGTTATAGTTATACTTTCTCCTAAATTTAATACAATATTTTTCAAGATTGCTTTCACAAAAAGCCAATCTAAAAGTGTATTTTTTTCAGCTGCGCCGACAAAACAACAAACTCCGCCTCCAATCTGCCAAACTCCGAGAACACGAACACAAACACCAAGAACAAGAGCGCAAACTTCAAGAGCAAAACACGAAAATCCTGGAACAAGATGCCGCTCTGAGCGACATCAAAAAACACATGGAAGAATGGGACCAAAAATACAAAGATTTGACTGCCGAGCTGGTGCGAGCCCGCGAGGAAATTTTACTGAAAACTTCGTCCAGCCAGAGTTCGCCCAATTTGAACAGCTCCACTCAACCGCGTACTTTTTTGCCGCAATTTAAATCCAACATAAAACCTAGGAGAACTTATATACTTCCTAAGTCATATCAAACTTACGATCCAGATAGGAAAAGGAAATCTTCGTTGAGCCCCGAAACACCGATAAAACGTAGCCGCAGCCCTAATATTCCTATTAAGGCAAAGCCTAGGAAAAGTATTCAAAATCTTAAATTTAATATACCCGATTTGGAGGGTTTTCAAGCAACTGATCCGATTTCTACTAATGTTGAAACCTGCCCCGAAACTGTTGTTAAAGAGAAAACGAAGTTTGTCAGTTCATTTTTTGATAAGTTATTGCACACTAATAATACTCGGAAACGGAAAATTACTGAGGATATTGATTTGAAATAGTTATTAGATTTGTTTATAAGTTGGCCTTAATAAATAGAGGCTGACATCCTTATTTAATAAAAAGATCTAAATAGTTATTGTGTGAGCCTGTAATCTTAAGACAACTTCATTATCGTGTAGTCCGTTTTAGAAATATTCTTTATATTTTATACTGCAATATATCTTTCTTGTAATTCTTCACAATAGTAAAGGTTTTCCTTTTCATGCAGCTTCGATGTTGTATGTTGTATCATTCATTTATCAGTAGCAGTTTGTGCAGAGTGTACAGAATTTTCATAGGAAAACAAGTACCTATTGATTTTCTGAAGATTTTTTTAATGTGTTCAATTTTTCACGCAAACCTATTGGTAGCTGGATAAACTGGAAGAGAAATTATAATTTTAACACCATAATTGATTGTTGAGCATTGAGAATTTTCCACACATACATTATTTTATAGAATTGTTTCAATCGTTTTTGCTGGTGAAGTTCCATTTACAAATTTTCTAGTCATCGGGCCATGTTGCAAGATTGTGCACAATTTATCGAACTAATAAACATTATTGTAAATTAGAATCATTTTTGCATACCAAGTTTGATCTCTTAAATCTCAGCCCCGATATAATTGCTACACTTTGCGTCAGTTAAACCCAAATATATTTTCCTTAATATGACATTGAATTTTAATATTAATAATAAGAAATTTAGGTAGTATGTAGTTACCTTAATAAAAATGTGTCTTACTTTTTATTTTATGTAAAGTTCGTTTCGACAGGGTTCATACTTGACCTTGAAACTTGACAAAAAAGGGTTGTCGTAGATTAATTCCTATGACACATTCCATTTTTTTCACAAATTAAAATGAATAACATCTGCTTTAAGAACCGACAAACGTCTTTAACATCATTGATTTGTTTCAGTCAATTTTTATTTGTTAAACAAGGAAGACAAATGCTGGTGGCAAGTACAAACCCTGGTGAGACAAACTTTACCTCTAAGTCTTTTTCGAATTTTGATTTCATCATTTAATCTTAGGTAAAGTTTGTTTCAGCAGGGTTTGTTTGTACTTGCCAGCAGCATTTGTCTTCCTTGTTTAACAAATAAAAATTGACTGAAACAAATCAATGACGTCAAAAACGTTCGTCGGTTCTTAAATCAGACGTCATTCATTTTAATTTGTCAAAAAAATTTAATGTGTCATATGAATTAATCTACGATAACCCTTTTTTATCAAGTTTCAAGGTCAAGTATGAACCCTGGTGAAACGAACTTTAGGTACATAATATTGTGTTATTTTTAGGTTTACCACAATAATTGAAGATAGTTTAAGAATAATAATATGTATTTGCTTTGTTAATGAACAATTTTTTGTTTCTATTATACATTATGTATTTTATATTTTGAAATTATAATATTTATTTGGTTAGTAAAAAAGTTAGATAGGTATCTATAATTCTGACTTCTGAGTGTGATTTTTGGTTGTTTATAATAAACCAATAGGAAAAATTGTCTGACTTCGTATTATTTTTTAATTTTAGGAATTTGATTATTTGACCAATACCCAAATTCGAATCTTCTACAGGGTGTTTGAAAAAGGTTGGAAATTTTCAGTTTGAAAAATAGCAACAAGAAAACCTTAACTTAAAAAGCCTCTTAGGTACCTACATACTTTATAAAAATGAAAAAAGCTGATATTTCGGGATATCAAAGAAGGTTTTGTTGTCCTTCAGATTCAGAAGCTCAATTTCATGTACCAGAGGTAGTGCCAAAAATCCTTGGACAAAAACCCCAAATAAACCCCTATTAATAAAATTGTCTATAGTTTTGAAAAATGTTGCCTTATAAAATTCTCGATTTCTCTGGTTCTGTCACTGTGATTCTCGTGAAATCAGCAGTGTTGGAAACCGTACTATAATTATAGTATTTGTACTATAATTGAATGGTTATGTACTATTAAAGGTCATTATAGTACCCCTAAAATACTATAATTATGCATTATCAAATTGTAACATTTATAACCAGGGATTAAACCTATTTTGTTGGCGTGCAAGCCCTTATCCTAAGTCCTTATTCTAGTTCTCCTCAGCCTAGGTATTATAAATCCTAATTTGTTGGCTGCAAGCCCTTAATCTATTCACTTCCTAATCTAATTTGTTGCCTAATCCTACTTTCTATTACCAACAAGTCCTAATCCTATTGGTTTCCTAATGTGTTGGCGTGCCCTTATGTCTAGTCACTTGAATAGGCTCTGTCGTTTTAGTAATCATAGAGCATGTATTTTTTGACAGTTGACATTTTAAATGTCAACTGTCAAAAGTGTTTAAAATTATTTTTAATTTTGTTGTTTTTCGCGAGAAAATTTTGAAATGCGCCCTGACTTTTCTCTTTTTCTCCAGAAAATGTCATAATTTTTTCTTGAATAGTTTTCCAGAAAAAAAATAAAATGTTAGATGATGCTTATGCCTAATTTAGTTAATTTTCAATGGGGTTATTTTCCACTGGAAAAATTTGAAATTTTACTATAATACGTCCCTGACTTCCCTTTTTTTTCCAGAAAATGTGATAATTTTCCCCTGAAAAGTTTTCCAGAAAAAAAATAAAATGCTAGATGGTACATTTATGCCTAATTTAATTTATCATTAATTTCCAATAAGGTTATTTTCCACTGGAAAAATTTGAATTTTACTATGATACGTCCCTGACTTTCCTTTTTTTTCCCAGAAAATGTCATAATTTTCCCCTGAATAGTTTTCCAGAAAAAAATAAATAAAATATTAGATGGTGCATTTATGTCTAATTTAGTTGATTTTCATTAATTTCCAATGAGGTTATTTTCCACTGAAAAAAATTGAAACTTTACTATGATACGCTCCTGATTTTCTTCTTTTTTTCCAGAAAATGTCATAATTTTCCCTTAAATAGTTTTCCAGAAAAAAAAAAAAAATGTTAGATAATACATTTATACCTTATTTAGTTGATTTTCATTAATTTCCAATAGGGTTATTTTCTACTGGAAAAATTTGAAATTTTAGTGTAATGCGCCTTGACTTTTCTCTTTTTCTCCAGAAAATGTCACAATTTTTCTTGAATAGTTTTCCAGAAAAAAAATAAAATGTTAGATGATGCTTATGCCTAATTTAGTTAATTTTCAATGGGGTTATTTTCCACTGGAAAAATTCGAAATTTTACTATAATACGTCCCTGACTTTCCTTTTTTCTCCAGAAAATGTGATAATTTTCCCCTGAATAGTTTTCCAGAAAAAAAATAAAATGTTAGATGGTGCATTTATGCCTAATTTAATTTATCATTAATTTCCAGTAAGGTTATTTTCCACTGGAAAAATTTGAATTTTACTATGATACGCCCCTGAATTTCCTTTTTTTTCCAGAAAATGTCATAATTTTCCCCTGAATAGTTTTCCAGAAAAAAATAAATAAAATGTTAGATGGTGCATTTATGTCTAATTTAGTTGATTTTCATTAACTTCCAATGAGGTTATTTTCCACTGAAAAAATTTGAAACTTTACTATGATACGCTCCTGATTTTCTTCTTTTTTCCAGAAAATATCATAATTTTCCCTTGAATAGTTTTCCAGAAAAAAAATAAAATGTTAGATAATACATTTATACCTTATTTAGTTGATTTTCATTAATTTCCAACAGAGCTGGGCAAAGCCCTCAGTGAAAGGGCTTGAAGCACTAAGCCCTAAGCCCTTTCTCAAAGTGCTTTCAATTTCAAGCACAAATTCCTTTTTATTTTCAAAAGTGCTTCACAAGCACAAAGCCCTCAAAGTGCTTTGTGCTTGGCAAGCACAAAGCCCCCAAAGTAATTTATAAAGTGCTTGGAGCACATCAAAAGTGCTTGGGGTGCCTCAAAAAGAGCTTTGAAGCTCTTTAAATGTGCTTGAAGCTCTTTAAATGTGCATGCAGCTTTTTAAATTTGCTTGAAGCCCTTTGAATATGCCCTGAAATCTTAGTACTCCTAACAACGCTAGTGAGCAATAAAAATACAAAAGCTTACTTTCAATTTCCTCAGTTCATTTGACTAGAGAATCTTTATATTTTGTATTTTTTTGCAAATTACAGTTACAATAATTATGAATGGAATTGGTAACCAAAATAATTGTAAGTGTGGGTAATTTTTTTTTTTTTACATGGTGTCCTATCCTTACACATCACAACAACTCAGGCTAATTTCAGAAAATTACTAAAATTGTATTTTATTTGTCATTTTCTTTGATGTTAACAGATGGCGTCACAAAAAAATTAGCATATCGATACTAGTATCGAAATATGAATTTAAAATATCGATGCCATTTGACGAGTATCGATATTTCTAAAATATCGTACCTATTGAGAATAGAAATATCGATAAACGAAAATCTAGATTCTAGATAAATATCAATCAGAAAATTCGGTGGTATGCGGTAAGCATTCCGACACGGAATAGATATCAGAATTAAGCAACAAAACTCATCGATTCAAAACTTTTAGGTGGGGGATAGGTTAAATGATGGTCAATTCAAATTTCTTTTAGAGTGCTTCAAGCCCTTTCAACGTGCTTCAAGCCCTTTTAGAGTGCTTCAAGCCCTTTTAGAGTGCTTCAAGTCCTTTCAAAGTGGTTCAAGCCCTTTTAAAGTGCTTCAAGCCCTTTGGAAGTGCTTTAAGCTTCCAAAAGTGCTTCAAGCCTTCTAAAAGTAATTGAAGCTTATTGAAAGGGCTTGAATTACTTTTTTTCAATTACAAATTACCAAGCACTTTTCTGAAGTAATTGACTTTGCAAGCCCCAATTACAAATATGTAAAAGGGCTTGAAGCACAGGGCTTTCAAGCCCTCAAAGTGTTTCAAGCACTTTTACAAGCACAAAGCACTCAAGCCCTGCCCAGCTCTGATTTCCAATAGGGTTATTTTCCACTGGAAAAATTTGAAATTTTAGTGTAATGCGCCCTGACTTTTCTCTTTTTCTCCAGAAAATGTCATAATTTTTTCTTGAATAGTTTTTCAGAAAAAAAATAAAATGCTAGATGATGCTTATGCCTAATTTAGTTAATTTTCAATGGGGTTATTTTCCACTGGAAAAATTCGAAATTTTACTATAATACGTCCCTGACTTCCCTTTTTTTTTCCAGAAAATGTGATAATTTTCCCCTGAATAGTTTTCCAGAAAAAAAATAAAATGTTAGATGGTGCATTTATGCCTAATTTAATTTATCTATAATTTCCAATAAGGTTATTTTCCACTGGAAAAATTTGAATTTTACTATGATACGCCCCTGATTTTCTTCCTTTTTTCCAGAATATGTCATAATTTTCCCTTGAATAGTTTTCCAGAAAAAGAATAAAATGTTAAATGGTGCATTTATGCCTAATTTAGTTGATTTTCATTAATTTCCAATGGGGTTATTTTCCACTGGAAAAATTTGAAATTTTACTATGATACGCCCCTGACTTTCCTCTTTTTTTCCAGAAAATTTCATAATTTTCTCCTGGACAGTGTTCCAGAAAAAAAAAAAACTGTTAGATGGTGCATTTATGCCTAATTTAGTTGATTTTCATTAATTTCTAATAGAGTTATTTACCATTTGAAAAATTTGAGATTTTACTATGATACGCCCCTGACTTTCCTCGTTTTTTGCAGAAAATGTCATAATTTTCCCCTGAATAGTTTTCCAGAAGAAAAATAAAATGTTGGATGATGCATTTATGCCTAATTTAGTTGATTTTCATTAATTTCCAATGGGGTTATTTTCCACTGAAAAAATTTGAAACTTTACTATGGATACGCCCCTGATTTTCTTCTTTTTTCCCAGAAAATGTCATAATTTTCCCCTGAATAGTTTTCCAGAAAAAAAATAAAATGTTAGATGGTGCATTTACACCTAATTTAGTTGATTTTGAATAATTTCCAATAGGGTTATTTTCCACTGGAAAATTTTGAATTTTTACTATGATACGTCCCTGAGTTTCTTCTTTTTTTCCAGAAAACGTCATAATTTTCCCCTGAATAGTTTTTCATACGAAAAATAAAATGTTGGATGGTGCATTTATGCCTAATTTAGTTGATATTTATTAATTTCCAATAAGGGTTATTTTTCACTTGAAAAATTTGAAACGTTACCTATGATACGTCCCTGATTTGCTCATTTTTTTTCCAGAAAATGTTATAATTTTCCCTTGAATAGATTTACAGAAAAAAATTAAATGTTAGATGGGGCATTTATGCCTAATTTAGTTGAGTTTCATTAATTTCTAATAGGGTTATTTCCCATTTGAAAAATTTGAGATTTTACTATGATACGCCCCTGACTTTCCTCTTTTTTTGCAGAAAATGTCATAATTTTCCCCTGAATAGTTTTCCAGAAGAAAAATAAAATGTTGGAGAGTGCATTTATGCTTAATTTAGTTGATTTTCATTAATTTCCAATGGGGTTATGTTCCACTGAAAAAATTTGAAACTTTACTATGGATACGCTCCTGATTTTCTTCTTTTTTTCCAGAAAATGTCATAATTTTCCCCTGAATAGTTTTAGTTGATTTTCATTAATTTCCAATAGGGTTATTTTCCACTGGAAAATTTTGAAATTTTACTATGATGCGCCCCTGAGTTTCTTCTTTTTTTCCAGAAAACCTCATAATTTTCCCTGAATAGTTTTCCAGAAAAAAAATAAAATGTTAGATGGTGCATTCATGTCTAATTTAGTTGATTTTAATTAATTTCTGATGGGGTTATTTTTCATTGGAAAAATTTTAAATTTTAGTATGATACGCCCTTGACTTTTCTTTTTTTTTCCAGAAAATGTCATAATTTTCCCCTGAATGGTTTTCTAGAAAAAAAAAGAAAATGTTAGATGATACATTTATACCTACAAAATTTAAGTATTCCAATGAGGTTATTTTCCACTGGAAAAATTTGAAATTTTAGTATGATACGTCCCTGACTTTTCTCGTTTTGTCCAAAAAATTTCATAATTTTCCTTTGGATGGTTTTCCAGAAAGAAAATAAAAATAAATGGTGCATTATGCCTAATTTAGTAGATTTTCAATAATTTCCAATGAGGTTATTTTTTACTGGAAAAATTTGGAATTTCAGTATGATACGCCCCTGACTTTTCCCTTTTTGTCCAGAAAATTTAATAATTTTCCCCTGGATAGTTTTCCAGAAAAAAAATAAAATGTTAGATGGTGCATTTATGTCTTAATTGAGTTGATTTTCATCTATTTCCAATGGAAAAATTTGAAATTTTAGTATGATACGCTCCTGACTTTTCTCATTTTTTCTAGAAAATTTCATAATTTTCCCCTGAATAGTTTTCCAGTAAAAAAATTAAATGTTAGATGGTGCAGTATTGCCATGTATATGGTAATTTTCATTGCTGTCTCTGTTGTACTGTTTTTGAACAAGTATCACATCCACCATGAACTTGTCTGCCATCTTTAGGGTTGCCACCTGTCCGGTTTTCACCCGGACTGTCCGGATTTTTAAAGGTTTGTCCGGTGTCCGGACGCATGATGAAAATGTCCGGGAATATCTGGACAATTTTGGGCGCCACATATCTTGACTGCCTGATAAAAGTTCTCATTATAGGCCTGATAAAAAGTTCTCATTATAGGCCCAATCCAATATTATGAACAGTTTTCGAGATACAGGTAGTTTAATGTTCAAGAAAACTTCAAAAAAATTCAAACACTTCAAAATAAAGCTATAAAAATAATTTTTCAGAAACCCTTTCTTACACCAACAACTGAGCTTTTTGAAAATACTACTCTGTATCCGGTGAGATATATTCTTGAACTTGAACAATGTAAACAAATCTTTAAAATTCTAGCCAGGGACATAAAATGTAATAGCAATCTGACATTTAATAGTGATATTCACAATTATAATACCAGAAACAATAATAATATTCATCTAGAAAACTTTAGAACAAACACAGCACTGCATAACCCCTTAACTCAGGCCATATTGGCTTTTAACTTGATACCTTTAAATGTAAGACAATGTCCTAACTTTAAGATATATTTAAACCATTTAAAAATGTATTTAAAAAGTAAAAACTTTGTATAGGATAATGAATTTAATATTAATATTATAGTTTTTTTTTTTAAATCAAATTGATTAATCATAAGTATCTATCTATTTATTTGATTGTACACTCTTAATAGTATTCTGTCCTGATACCAGCAGCTTTGCTATCTAAGGACAATAACAGCATTGTAAGACTTTGGTTTGATATTTATATTTTGTTAACATGTATTATTGTACAACTGTTGTTATTCTATTAATAAAAAAAAAAAAAATGTAATAGGTAGGTACTTATTTTATATGCATTTACATCTATCTGTCAACTGAGCGTGTGGATACCTGTTAATCCTCCACTTTTATGACATTGATTCAAACTTGTTTTGAAAAAATTGGATGTGAGAAAACGGCTCTGGTATAATTAGGTGACAGGTAGATGTAAATGAATATAAAATGTGTACATTTCTTGGACATTAAACTACCAGTATATCAAAAACTATTCATAATATTGGATTGGACCTATGAGGACTTTTTATCAGGAAGTCAAGATATACCACATATCAAAATTTCATTGATTTTGACAGATAACCAAAAACCCATGAGGTGTGCGGGGTCCTTTTATCTTGCAGAGAGTTACCAGCAAGTTCGAAGCTAGATAATGCAAGCCCGAGAGCAAGCCTAAAGGATCCCGCAATATTTAAATGGAAATTGGTTACCCGTGATATTTGGATGAAATTTAAATATGTTATCGGGGATGCCGTAAGCAGCATTTTTTACCATGGGCACAACCCTGTATATATAACAGGTGAGGCGTGGTTAGCTGTCAAATATTGGAATCTGATATCCAAAAGCAGAGTAATTATGGCAGATTTTGATGAACAAGAAATCTATTTCTACTAAGTCGAGCAAGTTAAGTCGAAAAATGTCAATCATTTTAACACCTGTCAAAACCCTGCCAAACAGCAGCACTCATCTTTTCCAGTTTCCAATTCTTTATGTTGTCATTTGACATTTTTAACTTATATGTAAATTCTAAATTCAAAAATTGAAAAAAAAAATGACAGAACTGTCAAAACCTGTCATTTGTTTTAGTAGGAAAAAATACTCTAATCTGGTTCTTTCTCGTTTAAAGGTAGTTTATTGGTGATAAAACATTGAACAAAGTTCATGCACGTCACATTTTGACAGCTGTCATTGTTTTTTTTCAATTTTTGAATTCAGAATTTACATATAAGTTAAAAATGTCAAATGACAACATAAAATATTGGAAACTGGAAAAGATGAGTGCTGCCGTTTGGCAGGGTTTTGACAGGTGTTAAAATGGTTGACATTTTTCGATTTAACTTGGTCGACTTAGTAGAAATAGATTTTTTGTTCATCAAAATCTGCCATAGTTACTCTGCTTTTGGATATCAGATTCCAATATTTGACAGCTAACCACGCCAAATCTGTCATATTTACAGGGTTGTGCCCATGATAAAAAATGTTGCCTACGGCATCCCCAATAACATATTTAAATTTGATCCAAATAGCACGGGTAACCAATTTCCATTTAAATATTGCGGGGTCCTTTGCAAAATTAACCCTCAATTCAATCAAAACTCAAACTGATATGTGTCAAATCCTAGAATAGAATTTAATAATTTCAAAAAGCTACCCCAAAGTCCCTAAAGAAAATGATTTACGATGAAGATTACAATTTAGATTTCAAGTTTGTTTTCCTTATTGTTTTATTGTAAGTAATTTAGCCCTAAAATTGTATTTTTCCATGTGAGGGTTTCACCTAAAGAATTCTAGTAAAAAAACACTTTTTTATTCTAGGTTTGTATTTGTAATATTTATATTGACCCTCACCACTTACATCCTATTGGGATTCAAATATTTGGGTTAACAAGGAAGAATAAACTCATTTAAAAAGAAACAATATATTATTTATTAATTAAAATATTCCTGAAGGAGGTGGAGCACCATAAACATAATGCCAAGAAGCTGGATATGCCAGTTGTTTGTGAGTAGTTTCCAGTTTGAGAAACTCCAACAATTTTCCAAGGAAATGTTTCGCATCAATTATATTTTCACCTTCCGACACATATTTAACCAATAAAACTGATTCAATTTGATTGCCTATTAGTCCATACAAAGTAGTTGCGTATCCTGCCCCATGCACCACAAATTTCCCATTAGAATTCGGTTCTAAACGCTTTGTAGATTGTATTTGATCCAGATTTTCTTTATTTGTAATAAAATAAAACATATTCCTGTCAGCTATATTATGTAGTTCATAATCAAATCCTGTCCCCAATACGAACAATCTCTTAAAGCCAAGTTGTTTAACAGAACTCAATAGATCTGTTAAAAATTTGAGTACAAATTTGGTTTCGATAGTGGAGCGGATCTGGATTACGGCTAGTTTATTTGCTTCGCTAATGTACAATTCGCTGGCAGTGCAAATTGTTTTTTCGTTGGAGTGAAAAGGGTCGGCTCCAACAGATGCCCGGAGTCCTGGATGCCAAATAGTGGCTACGTTTTCCAAATTCAGTGTCGTTATTAGAAGATCAATGGTCAGTTGTGGAACATTTCCTACAGAGACACTCGGTATTATTAAAGTGTAGTCGTTTAGGTTTACTGGTTTTTTGAAATTTAATAGTTGCATTTTTGTCTATATACTCGAACAAGTTCTAGTTTTTAATTATTATTAAATTATTAATTCAAAATAGTGCAAAATCATAACAGTAAAAACAATCAATTAATTTTAAGGTTAGAAAAACAGTGGCTGGACATTTGACTTTGAAGTTTGGGGGTGTGTTCCGTTTGACCGTTTACGTGAGTTCGGAATAGTTGTATTACTTTCAAGAGTTTAGAACACTTGAGCTGCTCGCTCCGGCGTTAGTCGACTCCGATTTGAGAGGAACGGATGTGCTGTTTTTCGTGCATTTTTAAAATGGTTTTCTTCGGGCTTTAGGTGCAACAAACACTTTCCGAAAGGAGAAAGCGCGTAACGCCCCGGAGCTGTTCCGGAGCTCCTTTTTGGTGTGACAGGAATACAACTTATGCTACAAGGTCGACACTTTTTTTTACACTGTGATGTTCGTCAATTGCTGTGCTTTCGGTATTTTGATCTAAGTTCTCCGAGCTTGAATTTACTATTCGTTTATTCAAAAAGTGTACTCGGTGCAGGCTCATTCACGTTCGTTTAATAAAATTTCTGGCACTCTGATACATCGTTCAATTGCTCTGTTCGCTCGCTGGTCATGTGATTACGGCTCCGCTCAGCACGCTCTGCTCCTTGAGCAAAATATCGAACGCAAGGTAAGTAGGAAGAGTTTAGTCTACACCTTTTTTGCGTTGGAAATAATTTGGTGCCCGAATGGTGTGAAGATGGTGGTACACCGTTTACTCGGTACAAAATGATGGTGCGTTCAGTGTTCATCACGGGATATAACCTTACACGAACACCGCACTTAAATCCCATTCCGAGCTCAACTTTTAAAATTCGTTTATCGGTTTTCGGGGTATTCGGTGAATCGAGTATAGTTCAACAGCTGTCATTAATTCACTTATCAGGTCTCAACGTTCCAAACAAATACGAGTACTCTGGAGCAAGATGAATTTTTATTCAAGTGAAAGTGACCTCGGAGCAAAGAGAGGAAATTTGAAGTATATTTATCCAACAATAAACAAACAAGCCACACTATATCCTCAAGTCCTCAGATTCAGGGACCCGGACCGGAACGATATTGAACTGAAAGTCGGAACGAAACCGTTTTATTTTTGAGGATCGGAACTGGAACGAAACTCATATATAATATTTAATAGAAACATTTTGTACAGGCAGAACTGGAAGTGATATGAATTAATCGCTTCTTACCGGTATTTTTCGGCTTCAAGATTTCATAAATTAGGCTGTCTGCTGTTTGGTCGTATCGTAATAAATTTTTCCTACAGCCGTGCGGAAAAATCGATTTTCCGCACTGATATGCGTGCGGAAAATGAGTTTTCCCGCACGGTGCGGTAAAACTTTTTTTTTTGACATATCAATGCGGAAAAAGTTTTTCCGCACGGCTGTCAGTGCGGAATAGTATATTATGATATAAGTGTATAAGAGGGCATTTAAAGCACGCGCGACATATTTCAAAACACGACGCGGAGCGGAGTGTTTTGTAAGTCGCAAGGGCTTTAAATGGGCATTTAAAGCCCTTGCTTATACTCGCATATCATACACTATTTTTTATTACGAATGCATCATAATCTCAAAAATGTTTTAAAAGTGTTCATTCATTTTGATAAGTAGTAATTTAAATGGCAGGTATGCAGGTAAATATCTAGATAAAGCCTAGTACTCATAACTGCGAAATTCGCATTTTTTTGACATTGCTTCGACAAATTGACGTTTGATACACGCATAAAACGTCATATTGTCAACGCAATGTCAAAAAAATGCGAATTTCGCAGTTATGAGTACTAGGCTTAATTAAGGTAGATCGAACGTTTCTATAGCAAACCTTTGAAAAGGTAGACGCATCATAAACATCATTTTATGCACGCTGCAGCGTGCGATAATCGTTGATTATGATGCATGCGTAATAAAAAAAAATTTACTGCACTGATATGTCAAAAAAAAAAAGAAAAATTTTACATTTTTTCGCTTGTAGGAAAAATATTGTACCTAACACACCATCACCGAACTCCGCTACGCGTCGTTCGGTGAATGGCAGCCGCGTGCGGAAAAATTCATTTTCCGCACTTGTTAGGTAAATAGCTATATCACTCTAACCTTGCGTTCGGTATTTTGCTCAAAGAGCAGAGCGTGCTCAGCGGAGCCGTAATCACGTGATCAGTGAGCGAACAGAGCAGTTGAACGCTGAATAAAAGTGCCAGAAATTTCAATAAACGAACGCGAATGAGGCTGCACCGAGTACACTTTTTAAATAAACGAACGGTAAAGTCAAGCTCGGAGAACTCGGACCAAAATAACGAACGCACGGTAAATAACAGAGCGATGGAAAACGCACATTTCTGAAGTCGGCTAGGTTAGGATATACACTCCACTACTACAGGATTGCTCATCGGCCTCGATGTTTAAAATCAAGTTCGGATGGTGTTGCACCGCTGTCGACGTCATCAACGGTGTTGTTAGCGGTTTGCGCCAGCGGTCGTAGTTAAGAATATACATTTATGATGGGAAATATTTTTTTAATTTTGATTAACATTAGCTCTGTTCCAACCGACATGAGAACCGTTCTAGAACGGTAATTTTCAGTCGATCAATTCATTTATTAAGTAGGATAAACGTCCAACCTATTGAAAAATAAGTGCGCAACTGGAAATTACTGGTTCTGTTTCATGTTGGTTGGAACAGACCTATAATAGGCAAAGAAATAGATTTAAACGAGAATCGAGATCTAAACAACGGTTGTTTTAGAATGTTAAATAATGTACTAAAATTAAACATGCATAAAGCAAAAGTCAGCGTAATCATAACTCACGTCAAGGCGAGAAACGACACGCTGCCTACGTCATCACTGGTACTTTGGAGTAGTGGGTGGCTTGAGATTTTTTATTTATTTTTATAATAAAGATATCGAATATTCATTTGAAAGTATATTCAAATGGCAATAAAACACCACTCAGGGCGGGTTTCTCAATAATGAATCACCTTCAGCATAGGTAGCATATAACTCCAAGTAAACATTGTAACTTGCAAGTGGACACATATATCCTGAAGTTGAAACTAACCCGGAGGTGACAAAAACAGTCAGAAAACTAGTTTCAACCAATGAGGTTCACTCTGACTGTTTCGTGATTTCTCTGCGAACAGACCTATTATTAAGTCTGTTTTTGCAGAAATCACAAACCAGTCAGAGTGAATTTCATTGGTTAAAACTAGTTTACTGACTGTTTCTGATTGTTTTCAACCAATGAAATTCGCTCTGACGGTTTGTGATTTCTGCTGAAACAGACCTAATAATAACCGAATTTTCGCGACGAATATAGCTCATCAATAGTTCGTCTCGTGACGTCATGAGTTTGAACGCTGGTTAGAAGCTGCGTCCAACCTTCTGGCGATCTACGTTTTATATGACGTCATGAGTTTCTCGCGAAAGCGTTTATGTTCATGAAATCATGGGAGTAGTTTGTCGCGAAAATTCAATAGTTGTTCCAAATCGGCAGAGAAATCCAATAAAAAATAAACCACAAATTACAGAATAATACATTTTTCTGTTAGATATTTGTGAAAAATTATATCGGTATGAACCGTTAAAACCGAAACTATTGGTCCGAACCGCATCGAAATATTTCTCTTAGAACCGGAACCGATACTTGTCATGATGCTGTGGTCCGGAACGGAACCGATATTTCATTTCGGTCCTGTCTCTGTTTCTCCGAGTTCTCCTGAACCACTCTAACCTACTCCAACTTACCCGAACTGCTCCAAGATCCTCAGCAAAATGGGTATTTTTCAGAATTCACCATATAATTTACCGGAGCAAACAACCGGTAGCTGTCACAAATTCCGGTGGATAAATGCGATGTCAACTGTTGAAAATTTGAATCTACCGGTTTTTCCGTATAGCGTTTTGTTTTGTTTTCGATTTATGATTAATAAGGTAACCCCTTGTTTTTATTCTAATCGGTGACTTTACCCATGATTTAGCTATCTTTGTTTAGTAATGGAAAATGACAATGACCGACAAAGAATGGTGCAGGATAAGTATAGTTTTTCCGATAAATCTCTTCTTTTACTTTTTTAAATGCAAAGCTATTGGTAGATGATGTTTTTTTTTTTTTTAATGTAAAACATCGAATTTTTCTTATGCGGATTTTATTTAAGATATGGCAATACTGCATTTTCATTAAAAGGGGGTGTAACCAAGAAATGAAAGTTTTAAGCCTGGTTTAAGCTTAGTACTCACAAGCCTAGTACTCATAAATGCGAAATTCGCTTTTTTTGACATTGCTTCGACAATTTGACGTTTGATACACGCATCAAACGTCAAATTGTCAAAGCAATGTCAAAAAAGTGCGAATTTTCGCAGTTATGAGTACTAGGCTTTAACCGCGAAATTCGCACTTTTTTGACATTGCGTTGACAATTTGACGTTTTATGCGTAAATCAAACGTCAAATTGTCGAAGCAATAGGAAATAAGAAAAATAAGAAATACAGAAAAACATAAAATAAAATTAGAATTATTTTGAACCAATCACAAACACGCCTGAACTGTCATACTCATAGGTCTAATCTAATTGACGGTGTGACATGCGCAAATAGCATTTTCACATAAAATAAAATAAAGTTAAAAGTTAACAAACTTATTATTTTTTATCTTATTTTATTTTTGTGTATAAACGCCACCGTGGCTTCCCATAAGGCAATCTTTTAATTTTATTTTATTTCTTATTTTATGTTATTTCATTTCCTGTATAAAGCCAGCTTTAGTTTTAGTACAAAAAAATCTATATTTCTATGGAATATTTAAACCGCATCTGGCGCATCTTGTTACGATGAACCGTTTTCCACTTACTGCGGTTTAAAGTGACGAACGCCTAGTATTTGGCGTTAAACCGGCTTCGGAGGCACAGTTGAAATACGTGTAAAATTTTCCAAACCAAAATTCAACGATCTCACTTAGAGCGAATTGCAATTAATTGGG